GCACTTATATCAAGTTAATTATCTAATCAAATATGTGACGTGGCTTTTTAAAATACTATCATTGTGCGCTCCACTGCTGGTGTGTCCATCTTCTACAAGAGTAAAAAGAAGGGAACATTTGTAAAGTTGCCTTGCACAAATGTGTACCAAAAAAGGGCAACTGGCTCTCGTAAGCCTTTTTCGTTTAAACGTCTCATTATTTGAACACTAAGCGCCCAGCATGGGAAAGTTAGTTTTAAGAACTTTTAACATTCAAATAAAAACAATTTATAAATCTATTATTAAAATCCGTGTTGGAATAAAACATAAAATTGTTGAATTTGAAAGATAATATTCTAAAAATGGAAAGGACTTCGGTCGAGAGCCTATTGGACTGAATATTCGGTTCAATCAATGACAATTATTAATATTACTATTCTTAAATATTTTATTTAATTTGCTTGTAAATTTATGTGTAAATATATTTATAAATTATACTGGTTAACAGTGATTTTGTGGACGGTGGTTTAAGAGCGTTTTTGGGCGAACGTTTTACCGATTTCAAATCGCTTCTCCGGCCTATAAATCTTCAATTGTTTCAAAAACAATAAAATAAAGTAGTTCTGTCTAAAACTAAAATAAATTTGCTATCTCGAAGTCCCCATCGATTATTTCCAAACTTTTCCTTAACGTCTTAGTTGTAAGTTTCATATTACATTTTTTTTAATTTGCTATTTTTGTGGAATCATTAATTTTCACTTGCGTCATTGTTCTTCTGAAAAATCGAAATGTGACGCACGTTTTGCTTGATTGGCTTTAGTTTTTTGAGATAGTCAACCAGTCGAGATAAAAAATGCAAATAATAATAATAATAATAATAATAATAATAATAATAAGACATTAATTTATTTATTTAATCAGTTTTGTCTGAGCTAGCTAAAAGGCCGTATTCTATAAACAATGAAAAATAGTGATTGTTGTTTTGAACTACTTTAAACATTTTCACTCGAACGGCGTGCGTGATTCAATTTAAAAATACTTTCCAGAATAAAACCATGTGTTCCGGTTTTGACTTCGTTTATTACTAAACAGCGAAGTTATATACAGAAACGTTAATCCACAATCTAAATCAGGAACCATCACAAGAAAATCACTATGTTACAATTAATTACTTAACCAAAAACTAGGGTAATTATTAATAAACGTACATACAGAAAGGGCGCATTTTGTTCATACATAACATTACACTTGCGCACTGACACTTAACCTGGATTAAATATAACTATAGATACAAATATTTACAAAGATAATTTTCCAAACCATGATAAATTATAAAAAAATGTTTATAAGATTTTCTTTTATGCTAAAAGTTAGGACTTTATAATTATTGTGTCGTTCGTAGAATTCTGTACTAAATAGAGCACTGATTTTGAATATAAATTTTAACCATTTTGATAAGATGTTGAACCTTGTAACATTGCATAACTAAATGAATATGTCTGCCACAGATAGGCCTATTGATTTTGTCTTGAGCTGTTGCTAATCAAAGAGCAGAGCTATTGAAAACTTTCTTTCAAGGTGATTTATTTCAACATTCAGAGCCAGCCGAGAGAACGTTTTTTCTTATATTCATGAACAACAGCCAAAATACATTTGGAAGTCACTAATATATCCCTGTGACTGTGACTGCTATTTTTTTTTAATTTGTTTTCCAGTGTGAGGGATTGATTTTTCCCTGATTAGTGATTTTCTTGTTCCTTAACTCAATTTCTTGCAAACTGTTGATAGCTTTGATGAAATTTTGTAGCAAAGCTTGTTTGAATTTTGAAAACTATAAAAATATTCAGCAATTTTTATGGTTACAAACTTTTCCAAAACTTAGTTCAGACATAGTTATTGGTAAAAGATGCTTATTGCATCCAATTATAGGTACTTAGATTACATGCAACATTTTCAGAAGCTTATTCCTTTTTTGTCTTCTACTTGGAACTTTTCAATTTATTTAAAACATTGGACATTGTTATCAGTTGTTATTGTTTATATACATTGACATAACCGCACATAACATAAAAATATTGACGTAAGTCCTTAACCACTTTTAATCATCTTCATCTAAAAATTGTATTTGTACGGTTTTGTCAACTGGAATAAATTTTCATTATTATGTTTAATTTTTTATGTCTTTTATCATAAATTGTTATTTTTAAATAAATAAAGATATGTTTTTAACTTTAATAGGTAGGTGATACATAGTGACTACTTCATTAAATCGTCAGTAGATGGCGCTCGAGATTGCACCCAACACTTTTTACTGTTGCATTATCCTACTATATTATCTTCATACAACGATATAACAACATATATTGTTAGTCAATGTTCTAAGTCAACACTTGAACATCATGGAGTACGGACCCGGTTTATTAGTTAGAAATATGTAAATTAGAAAATGCTGTATTATTGGTTTTAAAAATTATGAATATTAAATCCCAATGACTAACATTTTTATCTGCAGTTGTAATTTTCACTATACATGTCGAAATTACATGGTTGTTAAAATATAAAACTATTTTTTCAAATAATTTCTTTTCGTCTTTAGTAATACAATTATCTAACGAGAAATAAATGTACATTTAGCTATTAAAATATAGTTTCATATTTTAAATAATTCATAATAGAGGTTCGTATTAGTAAATAATAGTCCAAGAGCTAGTAATACAAATTTCATTAAGTGTTTGATGCACTTTGAAATTTTGTAATTTGAAATCATTTAGATGGAAAAGCAGATATACCTGTGTTGGCTAGACCCACCCCGGGACACCAGGTACTGCGCATAATAGAAAAAGGTCGTAAAATATGACCCAAAAAAGTGTTTTGATTCAGAGGCCAACAAACAACAATTAAAAGTTTAGGTAATTCTAAAAATACTGGTAAATTAGGCAGACACTTTTGAGAGGGTTTATAATTAATAAATCAACCCCAAGTTGATTTTTTTTATATATGATTTGAAGTGTTTGATTCACGCTGAAATTTTAATAGCGTCTTAATTAAATATAAAAAAAAAATAATTCCAAAAAG